CGTGACCTTGGATCGGGTAAGGATCGTAGCTTCAATTCGGGCACCCGTGATCCAAAAAATCGGGTTCACAATATATAGAGAGGAAAATTATTGAAATTTTCGTAACTTCTACGAGTAAGTTTCTGATGTGTAATATTTGATAAGTGAATAACATAAGGGAATGTTCGAAAAATCTCTTTTAAATTTATTATACATAGACTGTAGAATTCTCTTTTGTAATGAGTGTGCCTTTCCTGTCCTACAAAAAGTAATAAAATTAATAAATAAAGACCTCAAAAATTTCTACTCAGAAAAAATAAAATTCACAAAGTAGAACACTCTTTCAGGACCCCTTCACTTACCCCATCCTAACTCTCTTAATAATGCTCCTTAATTGTTACCTTAGACCAGTGCCAAATCGTTTCACCTCTAAAATGTTGAGGAACGTTATGTGACATACCCCGTTCGATAGTGACAATTCGTCACATTTCTTTGTTGTTTGTGTGTGTGTAATTCGACCGATTCCCCAGTAACAATACGTATGATTACATGTTATTTTTTATGATTAGTTTTTTTTTGTTTTTATATTGCTTATACTCAATATAGGTGCATACATTATTTTTATTGATAGTTGACAGCCCTTTTTAATTTACTTATACTATTCATTCTTTATCACTTTATTAAATGAAACGATGTACTATTTTTGAAGCCATCTTGTTACAAAATTTATCTATATATGTATTTAAAGACTTTTTTTTATTAAGTCTACCCATATACGCATTTGGTAATGACTATAAGGATATAAAGTTGGATTTACTATCACATTTTTAACTTATTGATAGTATGTCGTCAATGATCTACAAAAATTAGCCAATCAGAATGAAAGCCCGCTATGCTGGTACATGCCCATAATTGGTATATTACCTGACTGTTGTATTATATCTTTTTCAGACTGGGTCAATGATCACAAGACGCGACATTTTTCTATCATATCTTTTTTTGATCACAAGACGCGACATTTTTCTATCATATCTTTTTTTGATCACAAGACGCGACATTTTTCTGTCATTTCTTTTGTGAACAAAAAACAATCTATGGAAACTATAGAAAATAATTTAGGATCCAACCACTTTTGAAATAAAGAGCCGTCTAAGTGGTCACTTATTGGCTTTTTAAAATGGAGATCCAAATTACAGCCACTTTAAGATAGTTCAAAAGAACATAGTGCATTCAAAACTTTTCTTCAAGACCTTTCAAGTGATGAAAATAATACAAAAGCAAGAGTTACTCAGTAACTGAAAAGTATGCATTTTCTTATGTAAAAAATGGTTTATTGACAGGCCAAGAGTCCTGCGCTTATTGCGTGCAAGAATCGCTGAGTTCTGCAATAATTGGCACAATCGATCGCTGAGTTGATTGGGAATCTTGGTAGGATCGCTGAGTCTATTGCTGCAACACATTGGGGGATCTCTGAGTCTAGCCTGGTGTTGAGTCGCTGAGCTCGTTGCAGTTTGTCATAAGCCAGATCTTAATCATTTCATAAGAATATAATTTGTGCATACAGTTGATTTTGATATCATTAACAATTGCTTTTTTTTGCATTTTAAAATTGATATGCTTTCCTAGGAGATCAAGTATTTTCCCGAAGTGGAATAATTATAAGACTCGAGATTTACAGAAAGAAATTCAATACGTTAAAAGGAAAAATGATCTAAAAACATTGTAAGCTGAAACTGTTAATGTAAGCTTTTGTTCATTTTTTAAAACCATTATGTACCTTACATTATTAAATTTATAATTGAGGTTATTCTATTAGTTAAATTATGTTATTGACCATAGGAACGAATTTAAATATACACCTAATATAAACGGAAATAAAAAAAAGTCAATATTGCAAAGGATGCAGGTGCGTACTTTTTTGCTAATCACTCATTATTTTGTTACTTTTTTTCCTAATGAGCCGTAATTTAATTCTTAGGATGATGATAACATTTCAAAAATTAAACAACGTAAAACAAAAAAGCGGAAGGACAATATCAAACTATTGTAAATCGTCTAGTTCTAATATGTAATCTCATGTTTTTTTCTGATTTAATAAATGACCTGAAAGTTTGAATTATAAGATTGATAATTTCGTCAGGAAAAATTCTGATAGTAACAAACAACCAAGAATTGAAGAACAAATGCCTACAATTATCTTAACAAAAAGGGTAAGTTTAATTAATATAGGTTTTTATAGACAGTCATATAACTAATATGGTTGCATTTATTATGTTTAGCGAGAGGACTCTGCATACGTTGATGATGTCGATTATGAAGAAATTCATGATTGTTCAAATAATAAATTAGACAAATCGAGCGTAGGTATTTTTGTGTTCATGAACGATGCTATTTGGGCAATTTCACTAAATGCTTTGCATCTACTAATTAATACGACCAGAAAAATGATTTTCCCGATGCTGACACTGTTGATCTTAATAAAGAAATATCATATCAATGGGATGATTCAGGAGATTTAGAAAAGGAATTATTCACCCCTCTAGTAAATGAGGTAACTGAACTTTTGATTTTTTGGTTATCGTAAGTTGCGTTTCTTAAATTTAGTGACGATAAATATATTCGAAGTATCAAGAAAGTTTAGGCTTTATCAAATGCAATTATTATTAAGTATTAAGAAGTAAAAAAAGTTATCATGGAAAGATAGGATCGAAATACTACACGTATTTTTAAATATTTATTACACCAGTATTTATAAAAATAAGCTAAATTAATTTCCTTATTACATTTTAGAGCTCTTTCATCAATAATGATAATGTATTGGCCTTGCCATTATACAACATTTACTACCTCTAAATTGATAAGAGTTCTTGAGTCAAATCCGTATAAGTTACATAAGCTATTTTAAAAAGCCCACTCACTACCACTTTATATGAAGCAACTCACAATTTTTCACTTGGGCTAAGTTACAAATTTACATTGAGCGATGACGAATCTGATGAATTATGGAAGAAGGCGATCAGAATTTTTAGCAATATGTAAACTGTTATTTATTGCAAGAAATGGTTGAAAAAATTAAGGAATAATTTATTAAATTTTTCTTTTTTTTTTAAAAAAAAAAAAGGATGAAGATACACATTAATGTATATTTGTGGATCCGTTTATAAAAATGTTTTTGGAAATGAATTTAAACCATATGTTTTAGGATTTATTTAAAAGGTATTAGATAGCAAAAGACATGACTTTTGCCTCAGTAGATAAGATTGCAGTGTTAAATGCTGAATTAAGCCTTCGGAGTGCTCTTCATTAAGAGCAAAGAAAGATTTTATCAAAGTGTATCTCAAAGGCAAAAATTCAATTAATCAATTATATGAAAAGGAAGGCCCAAGAAAAGCATTGGCGGTTTTGAATATAGGATATATGATATCTCAACTATTTATTTTTACTTCTACATTGCAAAATCTATGAAATTTATTAACAATTTAGCTATCTGGTATATGACGGAATTTATCGATCGTTACCATTCTCAAAAATAAAATAGCGACTGATAGGATCATTTCTATTAATGGTAGGTATATTTAGTTTTTTATCTAACGTTAAAATAAGTTTTAAATATAAATTCTTTCACTAGCAACTTGTTTGTGAAATTGCAAATGAATACGGGAGCGACCACAATGTGGTAGCTATACACCAATACAATAGATTATATCAAACTTCACAAGAAAATTGCCAACTTCACCACAATTACAGAATTAGCAATGTTATTAAGTCTATGAAAATTTTCCATAGTGATGTAATTTCTATTGTATTATCAAGTTTTTTTACGGAATTCCGATAATTGCAAAATGTCTCAATTTTCATCTTTAACAATGCTTTTTATATATACCACCTTTTAAACAACTTTGGACATATGCATCAAAGAAAGCAGTTATATGTAAACGCAACTAAAACAGTTGATTAAATAAAAAACATCTGCATTACAAATGATTAGTACTGTACATACGTAAATCTATTCATAATTGATTAATTGGTATTGGCTGATTTATTTTTTTGCTTTAAAATTTTTTCCTGTGCTCGATATCCTTTTATATATTCGGAATCATATTTTACGATTCATGTAAATAAGTCAATAGTTATTTATTCTACATAAAGGCTCAAAAGTTTTGCCTGATTTAATACTTTCTTAAATCAATGACTTTTTTAGAAAGAAAAATCTCTTCTACGAAATTCAAAAGAAGAAAAAAAGGCTAAAAAACTTGCGCTTCTATAATGATGATAATGGAAACAATATTTATGAATCTATGTATTGACATGCTATCTGATCACGTTTGTTAGACAACTTGTCAAGAAATCTGATCAATTTGTTTAATATCACTAAAAAGCTTTCGAAACAAAAATTAAAGAAACAGCAAAATCCAAGATGACAAGTTTCACGCTACCCTCATGAATTTACTATGATCATTAATTAAACGTTTGTTGATGGTCACACATTTTAACAGCATGCTACTTTGCAATTACGTATGTACTGTACGTACATACGATTTGCAGCATGATTGTCGAATTATATGTATTCGAGTGTTGCCCAGAGAAAACAAATCTTTTGAATTCAAATCTTTTATTTATTATTATTTACAGAATTCGATTCTACATAATTTAATTAGTACTGCCAATACTTTAAGGTGTTCTCAAGCATCTTAATCAATCTGTCAAAACGGGTCTAAGAGTAAATTAATTAGTAAAAAAAATAGCTTAACGATTTAATTGTATTGATTATTCTAATGAATAAAACATTTGATTAGAGTTTACAACGTAGAAATAAACGATTTATTAGCGAAAGATCGTTTAACAGATCAAGGGTATTTATCATTTCAATCAAAAAGAGATGGAGGCCCAGGCGTCTTTTTTTTCATAGAGTTGCGCTTATTGGTCGAAATTTTTCATTGATTTATTAGAAAAATAATTGTACAAGTACTTCACTCTTTTTATATTATCATTATCGTTATAGACTTTCAAAATCGTTGCTGGCATAAACTTTGTTACTTATGCCAAAAAACTTCATCGTAAATAAAAAGGCACGTTTTTGTGTTTTGCTTGTATTAAATTCCGAAAAAGAAGAATTTGGAAGTGTCGTAGTCACATTGAGGAAGAAACATGAGCATAATTATACTATCATCCATACTATTGGTTATCGACAATAGTTTAATTAAATATTGCTATAATAGTTGAGCACTATCTCAATTTCATCGAGCGTACTACTTGGGAATACTCTTAGAATTTTAAATATATGCTGGTAAACATAATTGACTTAAAAGTCCAAAGTCTCATTTTTCTCGGCGGCACTCGTTAATATTAATATGAAATTCCTTAAAAAATTGATTGTTATTAACTATAAGTAAGTACTTTTACTTCACTGCCTATATTAAAGATTATGATAATCTTATTTTGAAGTATAAATTTAACTAATTAGGGCGACTGAAATGAGTTATTTAATTTATTAAAATCACTCTTCTAATATTACCAACTCATTGTATACTGATTTAACTAGAATTAAAATTTGTATTTAACAAGATATCCGAGAGTATAATAATCTAATTTGATGAGTATACTTTAACTCCATATTTTGAAAAAATTTAATTCATCTAAATATCATTCTCACAATGTACCAATATAAAATCTATATAGATAGTTTATTGAAGGATTTATTGAACTATTCTTTGTTGTGTTTTGTATAAATTTATTTAAAACTTTACACACTGTTAACATATCAAGGTTATCACGTTGGTGTAGTTCGATTCCAATGAACAGATTGATCGTTCTGATTTTAGTTGTGGATTGATTGGATAGGTTCATGGTTTATGATTTCAGTAATGGGGTAGGTGTATTCACAATTCAATAGTGGTTGGGTTTATAACGTTAGGAATGGATGGATAATAATTTTAATAGAGGTAAGATTCAAATAAATTAGGGTAGGCTCCTCGTAGAGTGCCTTCGCAATGCTTTCTTATAATTGAAAGTCATAGTTTTGACTTATTTTTACAAAAAATTTCCTGTTAATGGTTTTTTCCCTCAAAACATGGTTGATTCAAAATTCAGTGATGTCAAAGTGATGTTCCTGCAAATAGCTATTTCAAGAATTTTTCTTTCTTTTATATCGATATTATTATTATAAACATTTAAAGAAGTTAGAGTAGTGTTTTTGCAAAGTGCATTTACTAATGCTTTCCCTCCCTCAGAACCAAGTTGATTGAAGCGAAGATTTAAAAAAGTTAAAGTTGTATTACTGCAAAGAGCGTCTTCCAATGCTTTTCCTACTTCAGAACCAAGTTGATTACCGCTAAGGTTCAATGAGATTAGTGTATTATTCTTGCGAAGAGCATTCGCTAATGCTTCCCCACCTTCAGAACCAAGAAGATTATGACCAAGATTCAAAGTAGTTAATTTAGTATTCTTGCAAAGTATCTCGGCTAATGCTATCCCTTCTTTGGAATTAATTTGGTTATTGCTAAGATCTAAAGATGCCAGAGTAGTGTTATTAAAAAGCGCATCTGATAATATGCCATCCTTAGAACTAATTACATTATGACTAAGATTTAAAGATGTCAGCTTAATATTCTTGCAAAGAGCATATGCAAATGCTTTCCCTCCCTTAAAACCAAGTTTGTTATAGCTAAGGTTCAAAGAAGTCAAGGAAGTGTTCATACAAAGTGTATTTGCCAATTCTTTTCCATTCTCAGAATTAATTTTATTATTTCCAAGATTTAAGGAAGTTAATGTAGTATTTTTGCAAAGAATATTCACCAATACTTCTATTGATTCAGGTTCAAGATCAAAATATTCCATTGAGATAATAGTGGTATTTTTGTAAAGATTTTCAAGTATTATTTTGTTCCAAATAATTCCGCTAAGACATAAATGTCCAAGTCTCTTACTTGTACGTAGAAACATTGAAATCAAGGAACATTTAACTGCATTTTCAAGCTTATATCCAGTTTGGTATTGTTCATAATTTAGCCAATTTTTGATTCCATAATACAAATGGTTGCTAACAGACGTAATATAGCTTGTATATTCAAATATCGGTTTTGGATAATCTGGAATAATAATTTCATAAGGAATTAATAATGCTCGTTCTTCATCATTTAACGTTAAAAGAAATATGTTTATAAGTCTTTTATCAGCATGATGGATTGTTGATTTACTCCATAATATTGGCACAATAATCCTACACCATTGGCGATTTACAAGAAGACATGAAAATAAGTCGGTTCGAAGGTTGCTGAATATTTTATAAAAGCATTCAACTGGTAGTGTTAACATATTAAATGGATTATAAATTTTACTGTTTATTGCATGTACGCACGGATTTCATTTCAATATAAATACTAGTAAATATGAAGCGTCGTGAAACGTTGCAATTCATTTTTTCTGCATTAAATTTTAATTCGAGCTGATGACAGGTAAACAGATAGCTAAGCAGGGATATGCCAGAATCAATATTGCCAGATTGCACATACCAGACTGCCAGATTAAACCAGTATTAATGGGCAATTTAACCAAATCAAGCAGACAGATAAGCTGGTGGCGCATGAGTATGTACGTGCTTTTGGACAAGTATCAGTGGGATATTAAATATGGGGTCAGAATATGCGGAATTAATAAATTCAAAATCATCAAAAATTTTGCTAATAAAATGGTAGCCCACATACTTGCTATAGTAGCTCCGGGCCTGTTCCGACCCTAAACTTGGTCGATCGGCTGAATTTTGGTTGCTCTGTATTAATGTGTGCATTTACTTAGCACGTCTTGAATGTGTGCCAGGTTGATGGCGCAGTTAGCCCAAGCCACGCTGATCAACCATCAATCGATCATGCAGAATACATACGTACTACGTAAACTCATTTACTAATTAATATAAGATACTGCGCAGCGTATGAGGGTACCCTTATGTTGTGAGCCGTGAAACGTGATCCCGGAAGCACGTGGCAGGGATGATCGATGTGGCGCAGTAACGCAATAAACGGCTAT